TGTTAAGTGAAATAAGCCAGGCACAGAAAGAGAAATACTGCATGTTCTCATTCATAAGTGGGAGCTAAAATAAAGAAAGAAAGAGAAACAATCATAACAACACATTAAGCTTTCAAAAAATAAAAAGAACAGGACTACGGTTATTAGAGGTGGGATGGGGGGTTGGCAAGAAACTAGTTAAGGGTCACGAAGATTGATCATGTTTTGAAAACATGAGCATACTAATTATCCTGATTTGATCACATATTGTACACACGTATTGATATTTGATTCTGTACCACACTAATATATATTCAATAAAACAAAAAAAAAAATGTGGTTCTGGGTAGACATAGAACAATAGAATATTTGAGAGCCCAGAAATGAACCCTCACATTTATGGTCAATTGTTATCTGACAAGGGTGCCAAGACAATTCAATGGAGAAAGAAAAGTCTTTTCAACAGCGGTGCTGGGACAACTGGATATCCACAGGTAAAGGAATGAAGTTGGACACTCTCCACCTCCCCTGCCACACATCCTATACAAAAATTAGTTCAAAACGGATCAATGACCTAAGTGTAAGAACTAAAACTGTAAAACTCTCAAAACATAGGTATAAATCTTACAACTCAATAAAAAAAAAAATACTGAAAAAAAAATGGGCAAGGGATCTGAACAGACATTTCTCCAAATAAAGTCGACAAATGGCCAATAAGTGCTTGAAGAGATATACAACATCATTAGCCATCAGGGAAATGTAAATCAAAATGAAAAGGTGTCACAACCCACTCACTACATGGCTTTAATCAAAAAGACAGATAATAACAGTTGTTGGCAAGGATGTGGAGAAACTGGAACCCTCATACACTGCTGGTGGGAGTGTAAGATGATGCAGTTGCTTTGGAAAACAGCTCGGTAGTGTCTGAAAGGTTAAACGTAGAGTTATCAGATAACCCAGCATTTTCAATCCTAGGTATATACCTAAGAGAAATGAAATATATGTTCCTACAAAAAATTACTCACTAATGCTCATAGCAGCAGCATTCATAATATGCAAAAGGTGGGAACAGCCCAAATGTCCATCAGTGGTTGAATGGATAAGTGTGGCATATCCATGCAGTGGAATATTATTTGGCCATAAAAAGGAATGAAATACTGAAGGACCTTGAAAACATTTTGCTAACTAAAGGAGCCAGTCACAAAGGACGACATATTATATAATTTCCGTTGATATGAAATGTCCAGAACTAGCAAATTTATAGAGTCAGAAAGTAGATTAGTGGTTGCCTGGGGCTGGGGGAGGAATGGCAGGGGGTGAGTGGGGTGGAAAATTATAGCTAATGAGTACAGTTTCTTCTTGGGAGTGATGAAAATGTTCTAAATTTGGTTGTCCTGATGGTTTCACAACTCTGAATATACTAAAAACCATTAAATTGTACACTGTATACTTTAAATAGGTGACTTATTTGGTATGCTAATTATATCTCAGCAGAGTTTTGAGTGAAAGAAAATCACTTCAGCAATGTCTTCAGAGTTTGAGGGGGGGATGGTTTCTAATGTTGAACTCTGTACATTAACTATCATTTAATTTTAAGGAAAGATACCAGGGTACTTCGANATGAACATATTGCAGATATAGTTAAATTGCTTAAGGACAAGCAATTGAAATTAAGGACAGAGACTACATTAGAATATGGTTTTAGGTGTGTGTCTGTAAGGAAAGCTTGGATGTATCAGGATAGTGTTCCGTTTTTGTTTTCTTATTAAATAGTGATTTTGTAGGAGAAATATAAATACAGCTTTTGCTGCTTTTCAAGGGCCTAATTTTTCCTTTTTTGTGTAGGAAGATTTTCAGTCAATGACTTACGGATTTAAAATGGCTAACAGTGTGACGGATCTTCGAGTTACAGGTAAAACCATTTATGAAGATAATTCACAAGTTGTATGTTTTGATTTGTTTCCTTTGTAAACTTAACTGTTTTTCTGTCTAGGTATGCTAAAAGATGTGGAGGATGACATGCAAAGAAGAGTAAAGGTATGTATGTTTTTTCTTTTCTTTGGTGTAGGGATTTGGCATTCTTCTTAATGTCTGGTTAACTTTAACTAATTACAGATAACTAGTATAGAAACAGCTCTCTCTTTTATATGCTATGCCTTTTTTGTAATGAGTTTGAAGACTGCTAAAGGAGTTTCTGATAAATTAATATCAGTTTCAAGTATTGAAAATTTACCCTTTCAACTTTTTCAATTTTTTGTCAATGTTTTAGACTTCTAATGTGCTATTTTAAGAATAGTATTTTTTACCTCGCTAGAGTTTTAAGTCCCTCAAAGGTAAGCACTTCCTTCTTCCCCTTTGTATCTTAAATAGCTAGTACAGTGTCTAGAATATAGTAGATGAGCTTAGTAAATGGTGGTATCCCAAATCTGGTGAAAGTCTTCTAGATGACATCCTTCAGCACTATGACCCTGGTGCTTTGCTTCTCATAGAGATTAAAAAGGGGAAAACGTTACATTTCTACTTTTTTTTTTAATTGGTGGCTGGCCTGTATAGGGATCTG